CCCTCTTTATTTTGGGCTCAGGGGGAGAACATAGTTATCAATGGCACATTCAGCGTGTGGCTGAGAAGCCTTCAGCAGTGACAGTACATGATGAGTTCATTTTTCATTCACGTGTCAGCCCTTTAAAGTTTTTTTGCCCATAAAGAAGGGTTGCTATAGTGAGGACAAAGTTAACTTACGGACCTTTGAAAATGATCGAGGACAAAGTTAACTTACGGACCTTTGAAAACTAGAGCACCAGAGTCCCTTCCTTCTATGCTACCCGAGTGACAGAGGCATCCATCTCCAGCGAAACCCATCTTTCACTTCAGTCTACTATATTCTGCAGTTTTGGATCTGATTAGACTGTTCCTTAAGGTTTTAAGTTGAAGGGGATGTCATGATTCCATATATGGGTTTACTCATGACTTATATCTCTTAAATTTGCCTGGTGTCTTCCCTAAAAGATACTTAACAATCAAAGTCGTTGGTCGTAGTGACTAGCTCAAATGTGTACCAACATGGTTTGGGTGAAGAATACTTCCATCGAGGGAGAGTATAACCAATGTCAAAGGGACACACTTGGGGGGGAGTTCATTAGAGTTAAGTATGTGTTGGAGTTTCACATCTCGTGTAAAAATATACAAGAATAAAAACATATAAGAAGAAAAGACCCACAAAACTATTGCATTAAGATTTTAGGTTGGAGGAAGCGTCATGGTTCTTTATGTGTTTGCTCATGACCTATCAGTTTCCAATCTCCTCTAGGTCTCTCCTCGAAAAAATTGGCGTTATCTCAAGTTTACAAGTGTTATATGTCTTTATATTAATGTCTTGTATGCTTGGCTCATGACTTGGTTTCGTTGCATTCTCCTATTTAGATACTTGAAGATGTAAAACGATACCGTACAAGTTAATATATTTGGAAATTTCATAACAGACAGGTTAGGTTAATATATTTAGATATTAATGTCTTGTATGCTTGGTGTCAAGTGTTATATTTGGAAATTCCATAACAGACAGGTTAGGTTAATATATTTTTTAAAAAATTGAAATAATTAAAGTAGGTTAAAAAACGATACCGTACAAGTTAATCACTAAATAAATATAAACAGAAAATGAAAAAAATTCAAACCACTGATAACCATAACGTGCAAACACAAATCAGTGATGATATAATGACAATCCTAATACCTCACTTTTAGAATTTCAAATTGAAAGGAATCAACTGAGCAAGTCATCCCAGCCCGTTGTTGACTTGGTGGATTATGAGTTGCAGTCCATTGTTGATTCGGTTGATTATGAGTTGCTTTGGTTGTTTTTGCGGGTTGGTGGGTTCAGTCATGCCACCAACCCATTTTGGCGGGGTGAATTGATTGACCTTTTTGATTATCCCTATTCATGGTGGGCTTTTGTGGGTCGTTTTATACTGGTCTTTTCATTGAACTCATCTGATTTTGCTTGTAGGTCTCTATCATAACTCGTATTATATTTGCAGGGAGAACGCAATTTCAACCGGTTTGGTGGGTGGCTGGGGAAGAACTCGACAATGGGTAAAAACTTTAGGCTTTTGGATGATCTTCATGTTCACATTCTTGCTTCTCGTGAATCCAGTTCAGGAAGGTAAATATGAATTCAATATTTTACCTTCAGATCCCATCTTTTTGTGAGTTTATTGTCACTTGCTAAATGCTTCTGTCGATACATGCAAATTTGTAAACCTTGATGATTTTGGAAAGAAATAAAATGCAGATCAAATCCGGTGACATTGTGTCATCTTTTTTATATTTTTGAATATTTTGCCAATCTTTTGGTGCTTCCGTTTTATATGTACAATGTGGGCTTATCTATTAGGTTTCTAGAGTTACATCTCCAGTGATCTCCATTAATACAGTTTCTAGTAGAGTGATTATAGTCACGCTTCACTAAATGGTTTGCAGGGATACCATTCGCATGGAATACCTTACTCTTATTCTTAAACGACTGACTGAACCCCTACGAACCCTTCCTAAGGTTGGAAGTATATGTGTTTCTTTGATTCTAAATATTCCAAATGTTTTAAGCTGAAATGCTGAACAAAATTTAATTGCCCTTTCGGAATAATGACCAGGCTGAAGCGGTTCAACAAGTTGTGGAATTCATGAATACATACTCTATCAGTCAGGAAGATTTTGATACTATAGTAGAGTTATCAAAATTCAAGGTTCCTTAAATATATTTGATGTTTTTCTTTATACTACATACTACTATCAACCTCGGGTTAATGTTTTGATTTTACATGCATCAGGGTCAATCTAATCCACTAGATGGGATCCAGCCTGCTGTTAAGTCAGCTTTGACAAAAGCCTATAAAGAGCAAAGCAGATCTCGGGTGGTTCGAGTTGCCGACCAAATCACACTTCCCGGTGTAAAGAAGGCCCCTAAGAAGCGGATTGCTGCTATACTTGAACCAGCCGAGGAAGGAGGCAAAAATGAAGATGACACCTTGGACGAGAGTGAAGAAGAGAACACCTCTGATACAGAAGAGTTGGGTAAGTTATTTGGTTTTATTATTATTATTTTAATATTGATTGATTGCTTCTGACAATTTTTGTTCTTGTGATGCATTAGAAGGCATCACCAAGGGAGAGAAGCTGCAATCAGAACTTCAAAGCTTGAATTCAAAAGGTAGGTGCTCGTCATGTGCCATTGGAGGTTGCTTTATTGGAGTTTTAAGTGATTTATGATTTATACATCTTGATTCATGTAGCCACGCAAGTACAGTTGGAACTGAAGGGAACGGGTAATTCGAGTTCCAAGAAGGCATCGGCTGGTAGAGGTAAAGGTGCTTCCGCATCTGGGAAAAAGGTTGCTCAAGCTCCAAAAAGAAAAAGGTGAAATATTAGACATCTTGCCTTTTTGTCGAGCCACTAGCAGTATTTGTATAGAACCATGCTCTTCATGTAATTGATGTTCAGGCTTCATAACTTCACGTTTGAGTTTTAGTAAATTTTCCAAGGAGAACATGGATTGACTACTTGTGGTGGCTGTAGATTGTTTCGGTCTGTCCACGTTAGAAGTTAGAATTTTGCTTGCTGTTTTATGAAGCGTTTATTTCTGGTTTGAGCTTTTACTCTTTTCTTCCGTGATATTCTTCTGCAAGAACATGAATGCCAAAATGATGTTTTACCTGGATGAGCGATATTAAGTACTTCAAACGGAGAAAATTGAACGAGTTCATTCTTAAATTACGTAAAATTTTATCAATTTTTGCCTCCTTTTGTTTTGGGAAAAGTTCAATTGTTGGGAAAATGAACCAATATATATGAAGAATAATAAGTTGGATAACATGAATTAATTCTATTTAAATTAATTTCAGTTTTTCAAAGATGTTTTATATTTGGTTTCATTATATAGATTGAACTTAACTACTTTATGTTTATTCATTGTATCAGTATGAATAATATTTTTTTTCGGTTAGGGAATTCATGAACTTAATCGCCCTAACTAAGGGGAAGGCTTCCTACACCTTCCCAAGATTCGGATGTTCTTAATTGAGGGCACACTATCTTATATATATACACAAATTGACGAGAAATATGAGAGAATTATAATATATTCATTATTGGATTTGTTTATATTTTCTTAAATTAAATATCACTCACCAACCATTACAATTCTGTGATTTATTATTACTTTATAAATTGCATTATGTTTGAGGATCCAAATCTGCGTGGGCCTGTGGTTGTTGTGAGCTTAAAAACTAAGATAGTGACTTGTCAACTCAAAAAATGGCCCCCAATTCTTCTGCACACGAGTGAGCAATCTGAAGATAATAATAATAATAATAATAATAATAATAACTACAGTAACAATAGTGAGTAAAATATTTTAATTTTGCCAATCCACAATAAAGAGGTGATGTCCCTTTCATTTTCAGATTCAGAATGTTGTAAATCATATTTACTATTTTAAATATTCATACAATAAATTTTAAAAAAAAGAACTGTAAAATCACATGGATTATACTATATGAATGTCTACAGTTAAAATGCTTGAAGACTTCTTGGCCATATTTGTTTTTATCTGTGTTGTTAGATCACACTCATTGACTGAAAGACTTTATAGCTATAATGAGGTTTTGTGATTGGACGTTACATTCGTAATATTCAATCATCATCGAGGACTAAAATCATGCTTTTCATCATATACGATTGAGGCACTGAATTATGTAATGTTTCTACAACTAAAAGAACCAATTATAACTCGTTTTAAAGTAAATAGAGAGATGAATGGTAGAAAGGGATGAAGAGGAAATGTACAAAGTGTGAATACAGAAAAGAATCATTTTATTGATCGATTATTACTGTATTTCCATTTGTAAAATTACTTACTGAATCGGGCACAGATTTCCCTGCCATCTTATTACATAAAAGCCTTCTCATCCCACCAGACACAACCTCCTAACGATTTGTGGCAGCACTGCTAAGAACTGAATCTAAATTGCATATATGCACTATATATTGTTTTACTACACTTGAGAAGAAGAAGCTTTTGTTCTCCAGTTCAAGACCCAAATCCACAAGGAGAAAATCGAGAAGGAAAAAGAAAAAGAGCATCACAAAAACTGGGGAATATAAACCAAACCCATAGAACCTGCTATTAACCATTTTCATGTAACCTGGCCTTCACATTCCGTTGACTTTTTACATCTTTGGAATTTCCTGTGCAGCTGCATCCAACCATGTGTAAGTATTAACTAACTTGAAGGTCAACTTAATAGAAAACAATTGTTACAGAATGTATTAACTAACCCCAACAGCAACTAACCAAAATGGATATGAAAGAGTAACAATAAATGAAGTTTACTTTTGCATATTTTATACTTTTTAGAATTTGATATTCAAGCCCACATGGTAGAGAGGGAACACCAACTTAGCAGATTTTTATACTGTTACAAGAATTTTAGCTTTGAAAATTCAATTATTGTACAAAATAGATGAAAGTTGACATGCAAGAATACTCTCTTCATAATTAATCCTTAATTAAGTCAACGAGATCCAGTTACCAAGCTAAATATAGTTGTCACGTAACATGAGATACAGAGTTAGAATCTCACTATTTTCGTTATTAACGAGTCTTGCTAGCATGCTGATAAGAGCAGTTTATTGACAAGAGATGAATCTGGAATTCTGACCAAAGCTTCCAAGCATCCAACACGCTGTTTCCAACAATTTTCCTGCCATGCCATTCAAACTTTAGCTTAGAAACTAAAAGCATTTAATCAGTTATGAAGAGTATCACTGAAATAAGACAGATAATTTCTTTATGTACATATTAGCATGTGAAAAGAAGTATCACAGAAATTAAGAAAAAATCAGTTGACAAGTCAAACATGTTTGTAGATGGAGATTACAAAGGTTGAGCTCACAAATATCTTTATAACTGTNACAAGAATAAAAACATATAAGAAGAAAAGACCCACAAAACTATTGCATTAAGATTTTAGGTTGGAGGAAGCGTCATGGTTCTTTATATGTGTTTGCTCATGACTTATCAGTTTCCAATCTCCTCTAGGTCTCTCCTCGAAAAAATTGGCGTTATCTCAAGTTTACAAGTGTTATATGTCTTTATATTAATGTCTTGTATGCTTGGCTCATGACTTGGTTTCATTGCATTCTCCTATTTAGATACTTGAAGATGTAAAACGATACCGTACAAGTTAATATATTTGGAAATTTCATAACAGACAGGTTAGGTTAATATATTTAGATATTAATGTCTTGTATGCTTGGTGTCAAGTGTTATATTTGGAAATTCCATAACAGACAGGTTAGGTTAATATATTTTTTAAAAAATTGAAATAATTAAAGTAGGTTAAAAAACGATACCGTACAAGTTAATCACTAAATAAATATAAACAGAAAATGAAAAAAATTCAAACCACTGATAACCATAACGTGCAAACACAAATCAGTGATGATATAATGACAATCCTAATACCTCACTTTTAGAATTTCAAATTGAAAGGAATCAACTGAGCAAGTCATCCCAGCCCGTTGTTGACTTGGTGGATTATGAGTTGCAGTCCATTGTTGATTCGGTTGATTATGTTGCGTTGGTTGTTTTTGCGGGTTGGTGGGTTCAGTCATGCCACCAACCCATTTTGGCGGGGTGAATTGATTGACCTTTTTGATTATCCCTATTCATGGTGGGCTTTTGTGGGTCGTTTTATACTGGTCTTTTCATTGAACTCATCTGATTTTGCTTGTAGGTCTCTATCATAACTCGTATTATATTTGCAGGGAGAACGCAATTTCAACCGGTTTGGTGGGTGGCTGGGGAAGAACTCGACAATGGGTAAAAACTTTAGGCTTTTGGATGATCTTCATGTTCACATTCTTGCTTCTCGTGAATCCAGTTCAGGAAGGTAAATATGAATTCAATATTTTACCTTCAGATCCCATCTTTTTGTGAGTTTATTGTCACTTGCTAAATGCTTCTGTCGATACATGCAAATTTGTAAACCTTGATGATTTTGGAAAGAAATAAAATGCAGATCAAATCCGGTGACATTGTGTCATCTTTTTTATATTTTTGAATATTTTGCCAATCTTTTGGTGCTTCCGTTTTATATGTACAATGTGGGCTTATCTATTAGGTTTCTAGAGTTACATCTCCAGTGATCTCCATTAGTACAGTTTCTAGTGGAGTGATTATAGTCACGCTTCACTAAATGGTTTGCAGGGATACCATTCGCATGGAATACCTTACTCTTATTCTTAAACGACTGACTGAACCCCTACGAACCCTTCCTAAGGTTGGAAGTATATGTGTTTCTTTGATTCTAAATATTCCAAATGTTTTAAGCTGAAATGCTGAACAAAATTTAATTGCCCTTTCGGAATAATGACCAGGCTGAAGCGGTTCAACAAGTTGTGGAATTCATGAATACATACTCTATCAGTCAGGAAGATTTTGATACTATAGTAGAGTTATCAAAATTCAAGGTTCCTTAAATATATTTGATGTTTTTCTTTATACTACATACTACTATCAACCTCGGGTTAATGTTTTGATTTTACATGCATCAGGGTCAATCTAATCCACTAGATGGGATCCAGCCTGCTGTTAAGTCAGCTTTGACAAAAGCCTATAAAGAGCAAAGCAGATCTCGGGTGGTTCGAGTTGCCGACCAAATCACACTTCCCGGTGTAAAGAAGGCCCCTAAGAAGCGGATTGCTGCTATACTTGAACCAGCCGAGGAAGGAGGCAAAAATGAAGATGACACCTTGGACGAGAGTGAAGAAGAGAACACCTCTGATACAGAAGAGTTGGGTAAGTTATTTGGTTTTATTATTATTATTTTAATATTGATTGATTGCTTCTGACAATTTTTGTTCTTGTGATGCATTAGAAGGCATCACCAAGGGAGAGAAGCTGCAATCAGAACTTCAAAGCTTGAATTCAAAAGGTAGGTGCTCGTCATGTGCCATTGGAGGTTGCTTTATTGGAGTTTTAAGTGATTTATGATTTATACATCTTGATTCATGTAGCCACGCAAGTGCAGTTGGAACTGAAGGGAACGGGTAATTCGAGTTCCAAGAAGGCATCGGCTGGTAGAGGTAAAGGTGCTTCCGCATCTGGGAAAAAGGTTGCTCAAGCTCCAAAAAGAAAAAGGTGAAATATTAGACATCTTGCCTTTTTGTCGAGCCACTAGCAGTATTTGTATAGAACCATGCTCTTCATGTAATTGATGTTCAGGCTTCATAACTTCACGTTTGAGTTTTAGTAAATTTTCCAAGGAGAACATGGATTGACTACTTGTGGTGGCTGTAGATTGTTTCGGTCTGTCCACGTTAGAAGTTAGAATTTTGCTTGCTGTTTTATGAAGCGTTTATTTCTGGTTTGAGCTTTTACTCTTTTCTTCCGTGATATTCTTCTGCAAGAACATGAATGCCGAAATGATGTTTTACCTGGATGAGCGATATTAAGTACTTCAAACGGAGAAAATTGAACGAGTTCATTCTTAAATTACGTAAAATTTTATCAATTTTTGCCTCCTTTTGTTTTGGGAAAAGTTCAATTGTTGGGAAAATGAACCAATATATATGAAGAATAATAAGTTGGATAACATGAATTAATTCTATTTAAATTAATTTCAGTTTTTCAAAGATGTTTTATATTTGGTTTCATTATATAGATTGAACTTAACTACTTTATGTTTATTCATTGTATCAGTATGAATAATATTTTTTTTCGGTTAGGGAATTCATGAACTTAATCGCCCTAACTAAGGGGAAGGCTTCCTACACCTTCCCAAGATTCGGATGTTCTTAATTGAGGGCACACTATCTTATATATATACACAAATTGACGAGAAATATGAGTGAATTATAATATATTCATTATTGGATTTGTTTATATTTTCTTAAATTAAATATCACTCACCAACCATTACAATTCTGTGATTTATTATTACTTTATAAATTGCATTATGTTTGAGGATCCAAATCTGCGTGGGCCTGTGGTTGTTGTGAGCTTAAAAACTAAGATAGTGACTTGTCAACTCAAAAAATGGCCCCCAATTCTTCTGCACACGAGTGAGCAATCTGAAGATAATAATAATAATAATAATAATAATAATAACTACAGTAACAATAGTGAGTAAAATATTTTAATTTTGCCAATCCACAATAAAGAGGTGATGTCCCTTTCATTTTCAGATTCAGAATGTTGTAAATCATATTTACTATTTTAAATATTCATACAATAAATTTTAAAAAAAAGAACTGTAAAATCACATGGATTATACTATATGAATGTCTACAGTTAAAATGCTTGAAGACTTCTTGGCCATATTTGTTTTTATCTGTGTTGTTAGATCACACTCATTGACTGATAGACTTTATAGCTATAATGAGGTTTTGTGATTGGACGTTACATTCGTAATATTCAATCATCATCGAGGACTAAAATCATGCTTTTCATCATATACGATTGAGGCACTGAATTATGTAATGTTTCTACAACTAAAAGAACCAATTATAACTCGTTTTAAAGTAAATAGAGAGATGAATGGTAGAAAGGGATGAAGAGGAAATGTACAAAGTGTGAATACAGAAAAGAATCATTTTATTGATCGATTATTACTGTATTTCCATTTGTAAAATTACTTACTGAATCGGGCACAGATTTCCCTGCCATCTTATTACATAAAAGCCTTCTCATCCCACCAGACACAACCTCCTAACGATTTGTGGCAGCACTGCTAAGAACTGAATCTAAATTGCATATATGCACTATATATTGTTTTACTACACTTGAGGAGAAGAAGCTTTTGTTCTCCAGTTCAAGACCCAAATCCACAAGGAGAAAATCGAGAAGGAAAAAGAAAAAGAGCATCACAAAAACTGGGGAATATAAACCAAACCCATAGAACCTGCTATTAACCATTTTCATGTAACCTGGCCTTCACATTCCGTTGACTTTTTACATCTTTGGAATTTCCTGTGCAGCTGCATCCAACCATGTGTAAGTATTAACTAACTTGAAGGTCAACTTAATAGAAAACAATTGTTACAGAATGTATTAACTAACCCCAACAGCAACTAACCAAAATGGATATGAAAGAGTAACAATAAATGAAGTTTACTTTTGCATATTTTATACTTTTTAGAATTTGATATTCAAGCCCACATGGTAGAGAGGGAACACCAACTTAGCAGATTTTTATACTGTTACAAGAATTTTAGCTTTGAAAATTCAATTATTGTACAAAATAGATGAAAGTTGACATGCAAGAATACTCTCTTCATAATTAATCCTTAATTAAGTCAACGAGATCCAGTTACCAAGCTAAATATAGTTGTCACGTAACATGAGATACAGAGTTAGAATCTCACTATTTTCGTTATTAACGAGTCTTGCTAGCATGCTGATAAGAGCAGTTTATTGACAAGAGATGAATCTGGAATTCTGACCAAAGCTTCCAAGCATCCAACACGCTGTTTCCAACAATTTTCCTGCCATGCCATTCAAACTTTAGCTTAGAAACTAAAAGCATTTAATCAGTTATGAAGAGTATCACTGAAATAAGACAGATAATTTCTTTATGTACATATTAGCATGTGAAAAGAAGTATCACAGAAATTAAGAAAAAATCAGTTGACAAGTCAAACATGTTTGTAGATGGAGATTACAAAGGTTGAGCTCACAAATATCTTTATAACTGTATTTTACGTCATTCATCTCTATTGTTCATCTAGTTCCCAAATTCTACATGCAAGCATGCACAAAGTAGGAACTTACTAATTTAGTGAGAAATGGTGAAGCATTTAAGAAGCAAAAGGTTAGAAGTAGAAGATGATACTTGTTGGCATATGTGGGACAATAAAATATTGGTATCACCACCATCATATAAAAGAACCCAACTTTTCTCAAAAGTTTCTTTCCACCTTTCAGAAGCTTGACCTAACAAGCTATTCGATACGTTGAGTGGAACTTTTATACTTCTTTCTTAAAACTTAAGAATCCGTTTTAAAGTTTTCTAACAGTCTAACCTTAGGCAAAACCAAAACATTGCACAAATTCTCACATATTCCAAACGCCCAATTCAAGAAACTACAACTTTTGATCTTAGCTACAATCTATTTTCAACTAAGATATAAGAATTTCGTATGAAAATTATTTAATCCTATTTTAAACTTTGATTGTAAAAACATCTATACACTATAGAATTTATACAACAATTACCTGTGTTGAGGTACTATATACATGTTTTACTAATCCTTAATCAATAATTGAAAAAATAAATAAATAAAACTAGCACGAGTCTAGCCACATAATATAAAGTAAACGCAAATAATAAGTTAAATCTAAAAAACCAAATTAAACGCACATCATAATCAGCTTTTCCCCATCTTGACTTAAAAAACACCCAAACAAATACCACGAACCAAAAAGAAAAGTAAAAGCGAAGAAAAAGAGAAAAAAAATTAAACAACCAATTAACGCACCTCTTCTTTGCTTAACAACGACCTTAGCAGGTTGGGCCCGGGTCAAAGGCCCAGCCTCCTCCTCCTGAGGCGGTAACAGAACGCCGTCGATTCCCTGAACGGAGATCCGTCCATCCGTGTAAATATCCGGGTCGAACAAATACGCGGACCCGTCTCCGTGACCGAACTTGACGGAGCCATCAGCCTCCTGCGCCGTCACCTTATGAGGCAACCGTAACGTGTCGTAACGGACCTTCCCGAACCTTCTAACGGCATTGTACATGCTCTCCTCGGTCTGATACTCGGGAATCAAGTGATAGTACATAATCTGTTCGGGCGAACCCGGTTCACTCAGCTGGTCCGTCGTTAACTTCGCCATCGCTTCGTCGTTAGGAGCCAGCACCGTCAAAACGTAACCCTCCGAAACTAACCGTCCCATCTCCGTCGCCAGTGACGTTAAGTTTACCAGAATATCCGCCATTTCGTTGTAACCACCGTAGTGGAGGAGCGTTTGGATGAAGTCTTTCACCTGTCTCTCTCCGTTGAAGTGATGGTGGGGTCCACCCGGTCCAGGCGCCGGCGCCGGCGCCAGTGAGGGTCCCGGCGCCATCGCGTCGTAGATCGGAAGCACAGGTGGGGAGCCTGCCGGCGACGGGGGAGCTGGTTTTTTCAAGCGGTGAGTGCGCGGGTCGACCTCCGGAGCGGATTCGGGTTTCACGGCGGCGATGGAGACGAGGTTGCGGCGGCGGTTGAAGTCGTCTTGTACGGAGCGAGGGATGATGAGCGAGTCGATGCCATGGATGACGCCGTCGGGTCGGGTCAGGGAATCCGGGTGGGTGACACGTGAAGAGTCGACGTTCCAGTGAGTGGAATTAACGGTCTGGAGAGAGAGGTGGTGATTCGGGGCTAGGGTTTTGGTGGGCCGAGCTGGGTTACTTAACCCGGATCGGTATTCGGGTTTAGTGATTCTTTTGGGGACGATGTGGGACATGAGAAGGGTTTGGAGAGACTGCAGGTTGCGGGGTTCGAGAAGGAAGCGCTTGAAATCAGGGTCGAGATCGCGTTCGAGAGCTTCGTTTCTGGGTGCGAAGATTGTGATGTTGTGTTTCATTACCGTGTTTTCGAGCGTCTGAAGGAGCATGGCTTTTTCCACTAGCTCAGCAACTTCAGTGTAATGCGAGTCCAACAGAGCCACGAGGATTGAGTTTGAGTTTATTTGGCCTTGCGGGAGAGAGAATGTGATGGTTGGAAGGAGGAAGAGAAGGATGGTGACGCCATAGATGCGGCAATCCATGGCGGCTTTTGCTTCAGACACAACACAGAAAGAGAAGAGAGAAAGAGAGAGAGAGTAACACAGACACTACCAATGTTGTTTTTATGTTGTGTTGCGGTGTGTTTGTGAGATTGTGTCTGAGACAGAGCAGGTTTTGTTTTGGAATCGGTGGGGTAAATGGTGTGATTTATTGCCTTTGATGTTGTTGAGGTCGATATGAGACTGAACAAGTCACACTAGTTATTACTAATCAGTGTCAATGGCTGTGGGTAAATCCAGAGGTGTCGGTTGCTTCGTGAAAATCCAAGGCTTACGTGGCGG